AAAAAATATATTAATCAGGTAGTTTTATTTCAGTCTAATTCTGAAGGATTATATTTAGTATTCAATTATCATGTCATCATTTACAGTTCATGAATTTAAAATCTTTACAAGTTGTATGTTAGATGCTTAATAATAATTAAAAATATATTTTTTAGAGTTACACAAGAACTAAAACTTGTAAGAACTTAATCCTTTAATTTTTTGTTTATTGTTTATTATGTATTATTAAATACATAATTTATTTTTATTTTTTAAATTTATGTAAACATTTTCAGTAATTACTTTTTAGTGGAATGTATATATTTTTTTATTTCAGTTATATTAATAATAATTTACAAATGTTGGACTTTTGTAAATGTAGAACTTAATTGATTTTCAAATGTCCTATTTAATTATACTTAAATTAAAATATTGTTGGTTCAATTAGCTGAAAGCTAGAGGATGCTTTATTTTTCAAAGTTATCAGAAAAATGATTTATATTATGTAAACAACACATTAAAAATAATATTTTTTTTACCAAAAAATTGTGTTATTTTCATCATTATAGTTTTATTTTAATTAATTATTTTATTTATTAATAATTAGTTAAATATTATTTTTTAATATAGAAGGAATTTAGTCACTGAGTTCCTGTAAAATTATATTGACAGTGTTTTACTTTATTTTTTTGATTATATGTGCATAGTTGTATAAATTATAATCAACCTTAAAGATCAGAATTGTCTCTGCTAATTAAGATAATTTATACTTTATATTTTAACTATCTTTATCATCATTTTTTAAATAATTATGAAACTTTTGATTTAGTGTGTACATTTTTGAATTGGGATATAAAATTGAAAAAGAAATAAAAATTAAATTAATTAATTTTGAACTATATAAAAAATATTATACTTTTTTAACAGATTAACTTAGTGTTTTAAGTTGTAACATTAAATAAGGTAAAATTAGTGTATGGAGTAATTTTGAGTGTATATTTGAACTAATATTTATATCTCAAAATTCTCATTAAAAGATAATTTTTGAACTGCATAAGTGTTGAAGTGGGTTATTTTTCTGAACTGATGTAATTCAATAATATTTCAAAAATCACTAATTATGTCTAAATAAAGACTTTAGCGTTACAACAAGAAAAAAACCTCTTTTTACCCTCAAATAATATAAATTGTCAAAAATATAAATTATAGTATTGGGTTAATATATTGAAAATTTTAAGTAAAATTTTATATTGCTATAACTTTTAGAATATTGAATCATAACATTTTTATTAAAAATATAATAGACAATCATTTTACTATACACACTTAAACATTATTTTAATTCTGATATGTTAGATTTTCTTTATATTTGAGTCCATAAAAAAATGTATTTTTAAAAATTAATTTAGTACCTTTTAACTTACACTACCCAAATTGACTCTATATCAAGTATGTAATTTAGGGAGAATGAGGTGGATATATCCACAGAACTAAAATATTTACATAGGGACGATAAATATTTTTTCATTTGAGGAGTGCTGAAAATTTTTCATTTAATAGTCTGTCATAACTAAACACTTTTCGCCTGTCTCCATATAATTTTACTGTGAGAAATAAGGGCCAGGGTACAATATTTCCCTTCTGAAAAATATGCGATCCATAAATCTTACATTTATTCTTCTGTTATAAAATTAAGAATACAAAAATGCCATTTTTTCGTGTTGATTTAAGAAGAAAAATATATAGTATGAATTACAAACATTTTTCATAGAAAATATGTATTCAGTTTTACTTATCTAAAAATATTGTATTATATTATGTTAATATTGTATTATATATGTAAAACATTCACATTCATTAAATGTGGTTAGGGAGTACACTACCACTATCTAATATACCAATTTAAGTAGTAGTTTTTCTAAATGAGAAGCGTTCCTGAGGCCACATCGAATTTTCTCCATTCAAAGGCTAAAAATGATATTGATAATAATAAGCAAATATACTTATTTAGTAAAAAAAAATTATCTAAATAAAGAAATAGATTAGTACCTACCTAGTACGCTTTCTATATTTCAGTGCTCAAAATTAAAACATTCATCTGATATTTTGGGATTCTACTTAAAGATTGTACTTCAAGTAATAAGGGGGTCTTCGTCCACCACCACTTTAACCACTGAATTTAAGATTTAAATTATTATTTTTTTAATCGATGAAATAAATAAATTATGCTTCACTCTAGTTGCCCTTGGTTTAAAGTACTATACAATTACAATTTATCGCCAAATGCGAATTAGCGGTATATTATATGTTGACTAAGTAAATTAGAATGGAATTTTCTAAGTAAACGTGCAAGATTGAAATAACTTTCAAGTTTTTATTGAAAACACAATAAATATAATTTAAACACTTATAGAATAACACTTTTAAAAGTTTTTAAAAGCCAATATATGTAAAATACAGTTTTTTAGAGGACTAATATTTTGTTGATGACAAAATTGAAACAAAAATTTTAAAAGTAAAGCTATAAACATATAGTAAGTGATAGAGTCGACAGTGAATTAGTAAAACAATTTGGCGTGAAAAAATTTATCAGATATCTTGCTTTCAAAAAGTGATGAAAGAAAAAATAAATAATAATCCTGAGCTGCGATTTGACGACCAGCTCACATGAGATTTTGTCATCACCATATACCAAACCGCTAGTAAATAGGGGTGAGATGTTAAGATAAATTAGCTTAGGAATATCAAAAAATTAAATACGCCACCGATGTGAATTGGTTGTTAGATCGTTAAAAAAATAATAAGTTAATGTAATTTTTAGAATTTCTTGAAAACTCATTAGTCAAATTAATGGCATAACCAGAATATAAGTATTTTCTTATTTTCCAACTAAAAGACTTAAGAAGTGTCTAAGAAAATCTTTTATATTTGCATTGGATCTTACTTCATATTGGCCGTGATTAATGATGATAAATAAACACAATAAAACTTTTATTAATTAAAATTCACCATTTTACAAGTATTCATTTGACTACGTACAATTTCTCTAGAATTCTTGGTGAATATTTTAGTATTTTATGTGTAAAACGAAGAAAAATATTTGGTGGTTGAAATTCCTCGTGTGTCGTTTAATAGTGCTACTATATTTAAAAAGATGACCGATGTTTTAGGAAATAGAGTGAAAAATATAATATTGCAATTTTTCATTATATAATATTCAAAAATATTTGGAAATATCTCTGGTAAAAAAAATTCCGTTCTTTTAATCATTGATGATGAGTTCTTTCTGCACAAAATAATTTACAAAAAAATGAAATTACAATGTTTTTCATAAAATAATATATATATTATACCAAGTATTGTATTTATAGTTCAATAAATAATTAGGATTATTAAAATATACGATTATTTTAGCGCTCATTAAAATTTTAACACATAAGTTAATTTTAATTTTACTTTTTTTAACTTGATTGATATAGTGGGATCTATCTCCACTCGCCTCCCTCCCATTAAATGTTATTAATTTTTAATTAAATGTATTTATTGTAAATAATTTTGATACCTAGTACCTGGCAGTCATTATGTGTAATATATTACTGGTTAACTTTTAAACATCATCAGGCATGGCAGTGTCAAAGTTCCTTAATACAACTGTAACCTTACCGGTACCAACTACCAACCGTATTTTCATTCATAACCGTCTCCATTCATAACAGCATGTTGCCACTACCACTTTGGGTATTATTCTCTGGTTTCATTCATATAACGACGGAACCCGAGTGTAGGTTATTATTTTTCTCCCACCGCTACATCAACATCGTACACTTATGTCTTATTCACTCAGTCTGTCGTGGTGTGTTCGTTTAGAAAAGAGGTTCGTACAGCGATTTTTGATATTTTAAATAAATACCAAGTTATTTGTGTGTGATATATTTTTATTTTGTTTTATACGTGTTATCTATTTAATTATTTTGCTTATAAAAGTGGTGATATGTAATGTTTAAAAAACTGACATAGTTTGATGTTCTTAAATACTTATTAACGAGTGCGGTTATCCGTGTTATCACTAGAATATTTTTTCTGGAATACCAACACATTGTAGTTAGATAAAGAGGTGAATAATTTTACACATTTTTAAAATGATCAATTTACAAATTAAATCATCCATATCAATTCAATATTAATAACATGATATCATACAATATTTATTTTTCAAATAATCTGAAATCAATTAAAAACTCACATTGAAGTTACTCGAGTTGCTCTAAAAATACATAACATTTTAGAACGTAATTTACTTGTAATGTTGTTGAGCTTAAAATTTTTTTATTAATTTTAATTACAATGAACAGTATTGCGTTATTATCAAAGTGAATATTATTGTTATTTAATTACGCGGTTTTTTATCAAAATTCTTTCGCATGGTGTTTGTTAGCTAATAGCGTTACACTTTTTTAGTTTATTTCAATTATTTTCACAATTAATTATTTATTAAGATCGGTAGCACTTAATCCCTATGGTTCTTTCACCACTTGATTTTGTAATATAATATATCTCTTGTGACGTCACGTCGCGCACCTGTCCACTTCGCGCTATGATGTTACCCGTACACTGCCGTCATCTGGAGAGCACATAATTCTTCCCCTATCCCCCGTGGTCGTGTTATGAGAAAAAAAGATGTGTTCTCTGGTGTAGACGTAGTCTACTCGCGATGGTGGCGGCCATTCACTATTCGGGTTTCGTATTACTATAATCCCTCGTCGCAGTGGTTCTCAAATTGGTAGAAACCGGTTTACGTAGACTCTGTTTATGTGAGATACCCGTGTGTACCAGCGACTGTGCGTGTGTATGTGTGTGTCCGTTGTAAGAAGGTAGACGGAATACGAGAATCGTGGGAGCACAAAATAATCGCCGCCCATGACGTAAAAAAGGGTCCCGTGCTCATTTTAAAACTGTGCTGATATACATTATTTTATTGTTGCGAGTGAGATGAGTTATCATTTTATTTTTTGTTAGGCCAAAAAATTCGTGAAATAGTCCTCGGACAACAGTAATGGACTCGGCGGTCGACGACCAGTATTCATACTACGACGACGCATCCGACAGAGCTTTTTATCCTGAACACCGTTATCCACATAGCGATCAGTTAGATATGAAAAGTTGGCAGCAACAAAGTTTCAAACACCAGGTATCTATTTTATTTGCTGCAAACCAGCTAAGAGTTGATGCTTTTCAGTTTCTCAATAAGAAACTAATAGATAATATAATATGTCATCTATTATAATAGCGAGCGAAATTACGATGTATATAATTGTTGGGAGTTTAAGTTTACCCCTCGTATTCATTAAAATGGGCTTTTGTGACTATAAATAGAAAAATGGTTAATGTATGTACGATGTTAACAATGAACTGTTGTACACCGCGACCACAACGTTATCATAGAATCCCGAGAGTTTTAATATGTAAATTACAATCGTTTGTTGTAGTTTTAAGTCATAACATGCGAGTTTTTTTTTATTAATCAGACGTTTTTATTTCATTGGTTAAATGTCTTTTATGCGTCAATTGGTTTTACATTATCACACATGTGATACTATTATGTGAATTAATACTTCAGATCTTAATCAGCTTAATGTATTTTCATTATTTGAATTTTGCGATTATTGATTATTATTATTGATTCATACAAAATATAATTTCAAATTGACTATTAAAAAAATAATCATAATAATTTGATTTTTAACGATGCCTATTGTTCTTTGTATCTTAAGACCGAGTTCTCGGAAGTTTCAATTTAACACTCTTTTTACTATCTATCACTTGTGGCTTGTCAAGTGTTGTACCTGCTACGGTTGACACCTGAGAGGCAAATGTCTCCCGACTCTTCGGACAGGAAGTATTCGCCACTGAATAATAATTGTGTACTGCAGACACTTGCTATATGATCGTTCACCTCTGGGTTGTTCGACGATAGCATACAATAAAAGGAAGTAGGAAAAAAAGTAGATTACGAGAGGAAGCAGCTACAGTGGGAATAAATGGATTAAAAAAGATTTGTGTAAAAAGGGTAAACTGTTCCGTCGGAACCATTTTAATTTTTGTTACGGTCTTCTGATATTGTCTATTATTATCACTCTGTTGTTACAATAATAATGATATAATGCGCTGTCTGCGTTTCCGGTAAAATATATTTCTTTCCTTTTTTAAACAAAAGGGTCGTCGACGCATTTGGCCCGCTGCCGTTTTGTTTTTCATGCTATGCATCTCAAGGGTTAAAATAATATATTTTTTCCAAAAGCAAGACGCGCTGGCTTGATATTATCGTGTAAAACGCTCACGTTCATAATGCCGTATTATGAATAATAATAATCTAACACCAGTAATAATTCGAAAAAGACTTGCACTGTAGACCGTAGAGCAATAAAATATTAACATTAAGTTAAATGTTCAATGACAAGACCCCTTCGCTTGTAGTACTCGTGTATCTATTTATAGCACGGTCCGTATAATAATATAGTATTGAATTTACACGGACACAGTTTGTGTGTACAATAAAATCAAGAGAATACACATGTATGCAAAACGCATTTGTTTGGAAGTCATTGTGCGAATGTGAGTAGCCAAAATGAAAATCAATGTACTTTCGATGTTTTTTTTTGTTGGTTAACAGCCAAATATTTCATTATTGTATTAATTTGTTTCATATTCTAATGGCACTAAAATTAGTGGGAAAGGTTGGCTTACTGATTGTTTTACAGAGGTCCGAACGTGGGCGAACACTGTTGGTGTTTGCGCTCAGATGTGGATATATTTATAGAACACAAAGTCAGGTTGTTGTGTACTCGCGTACGGGTTTATTCATAAAATGACGTTGTTATTTTATCGTTTAACAAAAAAAATTCTGCTATTAATATATAATACGCCGTGTTATAATTGAGATTGTTCATTTAATCAATATTATGGGAAATTTTTTTCAACGATTTTATTATTCTTAAATTGGATTGTATTTAACATGTTAATGTTTATTAATGACGATAATTTAAAATATTCCCTTGTCTTTGATTGATGAACTTAATTTAAGTAGTATTTAACTTATTACATTTATAGCAATAAGTATTTAATTATTGAAAATAATTTGCTGAGACGACAATTTTCAACGGTTTAAATAATTTAAAAAACTTTTATTTTGCATTATTATTTTATCGTGGTCGAACTCGTCGTTTTCATACGTCGTTAAATTAATACCGCAGTCGTCTCTTGTGTTTGATAATTGAAAAGAATCAAAATGTGTATATTATATTACAATCGAGGGGACCCGTTCATATTTTGTGTCTACGAATAGTGTTTATATTTTATTACATTGTATTTAATTCAATAAAATTGATTGGATATACTCCATGTTAGTACATTATGACGATTAGTATGATTTGCTTTGATCTGAATTTTTTTTTTTAACGGGCCGTCGTCCTGGAATGCATAACGGCAGCTCCGGGGCGGTTCATATAATGGTGGATGAAAAAAAAAGGACTGAAGCAAAAAACAGAATACGAAACGGCTAATGATGCATTTTAATTTATAATATATTCAAATTCTCCTTGCTGTAGTGACGATATTTGACTAGATAATGCAGTAAACATGTTGTTAAACTAGAGGGAATAAACTTACTTTTACTACTATGTANATTTTATTACATTGTATTTAATTCAATAAAATTGATTGGATATACTCCATGTTAGTACATTATGACGATTAGTATGATTTGCTTTGATCTGAATTTTTTTTTTTAACGGGCCGTCGTCCTGGAATGCCTAACGACAGCTCCAGGGCGGTTCATATAATGGTGGATGAAAAAAAAAACGACTGAAGCAAAAAACAGAATACGAAACGGCTAATGATGCATTTTAATTTATAATATATTCAAATTCTTCTTGCTGTAGTGACGATATTTGACTAGATAATGCAGTAAATATGTTGTTAAACTAGAGGGAATAAACTTACTTTTACTACTATGTGTATGTTGTTTTAACCTAGTCAACCGTTCCTCGTAATAATTCTTCTTCGAAGGCGGTTAGACCTACGCTTCATTCATTTTTTACCCCTTCTCTACCTTTCACGATAGGCTCATGATGTAGTGTTAAACACGTGTGCATAAGCTTTGGCGTGTCCCCATTCATTCAGTGTGTCTCATACACGCACTGTTCAGTACATCCATCTCTATCGCAACTACTATTTTTCTCTCTTTACATCATAGCTTATTATATACATATACAAGCACCTGCCCTACCATCGTACCCGTGTTGCTACCACTACTAGAAATGCGTGCACTGTGTAGGCAGCAGCTGTGTTCCCATTCACTTTAGCCGGAGTCGTAGTCGCATGTACAAAATATAGTACGAGAATTTCGACTGCCAACAATACTGATCGTTCATGTTCTGTGAGTGCATATCGCCACTCGCCTACAGAGTCCGCAAACCTTGTACTCCCGCCTAGACTTGACGCTCCACCGACTGTGTAGCATCCCATTATATTAATTATTATCTGTATGCTAGTGTTAAGTGTGTTGAATCATACAAGTGAATAGACGTACGTGAGAGTGCTTGTGACTCACATGTGTATTCAGTGTGTTGTGATAGCTGTCCCATATGATTTATTTATTAAAACTTACCAAGGCAAAGAGTTTGTTACTATTTATAGGTACCTTAAATTATTTTTTATTAGTTGTACGTATATTTGTTTTTGCTTTTTACATTATCGCTCAAGTCATATTCTGTTAATAAAAATAATTAGCCAATGGGTAGGATATAGTTTCTTTAGCCCTCCATTGGCTACGCCATAGCGTGACATACGACTTGTTGGTGAATTGTAGTAATCTTACTAGATAATCCTTGATTAGAAGATCTGAGTTACTTGAAGAAATCTTAAAAATATGTTTATAAATATAGGGCGATTGATTTCGGATAGGTCACTCATTTCTCAGAAACTATTGAACAATTTAAATTTTTCTAAGGCCAAACTTAACCCAACATACTATGAAATAATTTGCTAGTCAGAAAAAAATGAATGTTCAAAAAACAAATTAAATAATAAGAAAAGCAAAAGTATAATATATAGAGAAAGTATTTTTATCTATTTATTTACATTAATTATATAACAACTATCATCATCTCTTCACCCCAGCTATTTGGGAGGACCAGCTTTAACATTTTTACACCGGTTGGGTTGATGCAACCTCATTGAAACGAGGTTACGTTAGACCGGTAGCCACAAAGCGTTGTGCCCGGGGAAACCTGTGAAAGAGCAAGGTGGCTGTGTATTATTGTTAAAGTTCCCATATAGTCACCCATCCGAGAACTAACAGTAAACAACACTGTCGAACATTAGCGCGACTCAATGAATCACTGGTGCCAAACTGAACATTTTAAAATAAAAAAATTATTTAACTTGAAAACTGTACAACAATGTAATGTGTGTTTGGGAAATTTTTTTTCATCCCTTCAAAGATTAAAAATCTTGACTTTAATTTTGTTAAATGGCAAACCCGTTTTATCACTTAATGATACGATTTAGAAAAAAAATTATAAATTATTATTTTGTTTTATTTTTTAATATTTTTTTTATTCGATATCTTTTTGATGATCGATTGATGAAAACTTTGATTTATAGTAAAAGATCAATATTAATTAGGTTAAATCTGTATCGAATAATCTGTTTCAAGGCATGCTTACTAAAAATCGATCCTTAATAGGCGATTTAAGTTTATTACAATTCTTTTTAATGTGAGATAATGATGATGAAATTGTATTTTGTTAATCGTTAAGGTGAGTTTTTAGGTAAAGTTTTAATTGCAATACTAAAATATTCCGCTTCTATAAGAAAGATTTCAAAATTTTTTTAAGCTGAGAAGGTATTGGTTTTACTAAGATGTGTTTTTTTTTTTTTTTTTTT